ATTTGCATATGCAAATTAGCTTAATTGATACTGCTTGCCTCTACAGGGATTTTTCATTACAAACTGGAGTGCTACATTGTTCAGCTCATATTGAGTAATTTAGTAACTAATGAGACCAGTTTGCACTAATTTGCATATGATAAATGAGCTTAATTGCAGTAAATAACTTGGAGGCATAATTACTTAATTTTCCTGTGTTGCACGGCTTTTAAGTTCACGTATGAACAACTCAAGATAATTTTGCATATTTAAATTAGTTGCTTTTAAAATTTCTTGAACAAAAAAGAACACACCTTAGGATTTGAACTGGAAAACAATTGAAAGTAAAGTTTACAGTATTTTTAGTAAAAATTTAGATAAGTTCTTAAATATGTGTTTTGTTTTATTTTTTTTTATGCCAAGCTCTTATCAAAGTAGATATATTTAGTATTAGACACTCTGCAGTAAGCTTTAAATGTAAGATTTGGAAAGAAATATTCCATTAACAATAATAACAGCAACTTTGTATCTAAATTGCAGTGATTCTTACTGACTGTGTACTCCTGTATATAAGAGCAGTAACTTTTAAAAATTGATGTCAGTGAGGTGAAAGTGCCTGACTGATTGGTCAGCAACTGTAGTTTTTTAATGGTGCATTAAATTACCATACACAATTGCATAGGCAGTGGTTGTGATAGATTCTACAAACTGTCCTACCAGTGTACTTCTACTCAATTTTTTATGCACCATTCTTTTCACTCAGAAGACTATTCAAGTTTCCATGTCCACTAAATCTTCATTTTATTTGTGGACTTTATCGTGGTGGCAGTTATGATGGTGCTTTATGTCATGTAGAGTTGTTCACAAGGAAGTGGATTGAGAACACCAGCTCAGTTCCCGTAGGTCAAAAAAACAACAACCACTTAGCCAACGTTTGGGCCATTACAGGCCTTAGATGGATTTGAGCCAGTGAACAAGCTCAAAATTCCAGTGACAATCCCCAGGACCATCTAATAGCACTATAACAGTGAATCATGCCCCCATGATTTGCAGGTAGAGAGGGATTGTACTGATTTCTCCATCCAGTGCTGAAAAAGGGCTCAGCTACTTTCTCAACAGCATTCTCTCCTTTCCTTGTGGCTTACAGAAGGTCGTCTTGGGGGATTTGTACATTGTCCTCATACCACCCTTGAAAAAAATCAGAAAAACAGAAATCCACTTTAGATTGTGCCTCACCATCAGAGCTGGGAATTCCTCTTTCCTTCCTCTAAGGGTCATCTTCATGATGTTTCTGGTCCAGTGACTCCTTGGCAGCATGGCTTAGAAGGAGCCACACTGTCAAGGACCAAATCAGAGCTAGTTGGGACTTGTGATGCTGCGGAATCTTTATGTGATAGTCCCTGGTCTCCTGTGGATTGGATGGGGATCTGGCGTGTTTGTGTGCATGCTCCATGACCTTTTCTGAGCTAAGGAAACTCCAATCCTTTGGTGGAATGGTAAAGAAGAAATTTCCACAAGTAATTCTTAGTGTAGGTTTACTCTTCTTTCGCTCCATTCTACAGGATCTCACATGGGATTGGGGCCATTGAGTTTTCTTCAGCTTTTCTGCATTTAAAAGCTCAAAAAAATCCCAAATCCACCCTTGGGTATAAGAAGTCTGCTGCATTGCTGCTAACATTTTACACAACTTACATTAAATTACATATTTTCATGGAGAATCTAAGAGCCATATGTGTTTTGTTTTTGATTCACAAATACAGTGCCCAGAAAACCCATTTGTCAGCTAGTATGTGAGAATGTAG